GGAACAACTTATGTCTGTGAGCAAACATTTTCAAAAATTAATTATGTGAAGTCAGCACATCGAACGAGGTTGACTGATGAACATTTGAAAGTAATTCTCTTGGTTGGATGCAGCAATTCCAAAGCAAATATTGATGATATCTCAAAAGCTAAACACCAGTTTTTGCTGCTTAGTTTGTGAGATTCGGATATGTGCGCACTGGGTGTGATATAAATATCTTATTGCTAACGTCGCCTTCTTTGATAACTTTTTGGAAAATAAACATGTTTGTTGTCTTTACTTTTTGTGTATTCACTGTATTGTATTGAACAAAATAGTTATGCGGGCCGCGCTCGTCATTCTCTCAATTATCTGGCCCGCTGTGAAAAAAAGTTTGGTGACCCCTGCTCTAGTATAACACATTACAGTAAGCATGTCAAGCCGCTTACTTTTATTCCAGAGGGTCCAAACCGTAGGTCTGTAGACAACTTTCTGACGGGTTGCAGAATTATGCTGGAACAACGAAGTAAAAAAAAAAAAAGCTGGCGAATTTTCAAGAAATTTATCATTTGTACGTATGCTAGGAATAGGTGAAAAACAAGTGAGCCTCATAAGCTTTCACTTCAAAGTTTCTTGGAGGTAATTAATGAAACAACACTATAAGCCTATGAACTCCTAATGGTCTGTAGCTTTTTTCCAAAAAATTATGTGTGTCTGTGAAGAGAAAAAGGTCGAGAACCAAAGTTGTTGTACTAGTACTACATACCATGTCAAACAGTTTTAATAAATAGTTTCTGGGTGCGGAGCATACAGAAAAGAGAAACTAAACTAAGGGACTACAACAGCGTTATTACCTTCTAACTTTCTTATGAAAGACTGATATTGTAAAGTTCTTGTAAGGTAAAACTGCAGTTATCTGATCAACAGTTTCGACAAAACCAAAGATAAGAAACTCAATGCGAGATTACCAACCTTTCGTACTAAAACACTTCGTTTTGTGAACACCAGCATATTCTTCCTGTTAATCACCATAAATATGTAAATTCTCCTCGATTTGTTGGTAAAGTTACTAAATACAAGTAAAATACTTCTCACAGGTCCACTGTTTGTTTGGGATATTCGTGCACATGTACTCAAATCTGTGGTAGCCATCCCTAATTTTAAACTGATAGGCTATAGGGAAGGCAGCTAGTTAAGAGCACTCACTGCCAACTCTATAGCTAATCTAATCAAATGGTGGGATCTGAACGTCACTCTTATAACGCAAGTCACAGCATCACAGTGCGGAGAGAGAGTTTGCGGTCATGGGACACAAACCATGAACCCTTGGATTCACAGTTCAGACACTAAGCCTAATACTCTCCCTTATAGGTCGATTTTTGTTTCTTTGTTATTAGACACAAAGCTACCAAATGGACTATCTATGCTCTGCCCATCGAAGGTATCGAAACCCAATATTTAGCTGTCACAGGTCCTTAGACTTACCGCTAAATCACCGGGGGGCCTTTAGGTCGTAGTTTATGAATTGTGACATAAACGTCTTCGTACAATTTGAATCGAAAATACAAAGAAATCACATTTTCATTTTGTTAATGATAATTCCTCGTTTTTTCAATAGTATCTTTCAATGATACCTTCAACATAAAAACAGCTGTTAGTTTTTCGTAAGTGTATTTTTTTGATTGAAATTAACAATGACTACATTATGCTGTTTGAAAATAAGACCAATATTTATTGACAAGGTGAAGCAAAATAAATTGAATATTCAAATATTGAATTTCATTTTAACAAATTTAAGCTAATCATTTTTTTTTCTTCTTATACCGAGCCTAATATTTAATATTTAAAAATTCGGTATTTTAAGCTCAACTTTGTTTAGATACGAGCAGTTAAGTCATTATTTTCTCTCTGAAAGCATGCGTTTTCCTTCTTCAATTGCATCTTGGTTTCGTTCTTGATAATATGGTAGTTCTTTCCTTAGCCTCTGCAACCATGCTTCAATTTTTGGAAAACTACTAAGAGTGAAGTCGATAGCCTAATGTAATTTAAAAATGTAAATCTAAGTCGCTTGAGAATGAAATGGAATCTGTAGACAAAACTTTGAAATACCCAGTATTAATTGGTAAATAACGACTAAATATAAAACCTCAATCACTCTAAAAACACGTATTATAAAAAAAAAACTACGGAGATTCTATAACAGTAACGGCTCAAATAATGAAAAAATAAAGTCATGCTGCTAATAAAACTACAATAATTACAAATATATTGATATCAAAAGTGATAACTTCGGACAGCCCGTTTCTACATTATTCAATATGGGACGTCATTTAACCACTTTAGTCTGTTCATTTCATATGTACTTATAAAGAATTATCAAATAAGATACAACAAGCTTGTAGAAGTTTTATGTTAGCATCTTTAGATACTTTGCTACAATACCAAAAGCCTAGACATTTATTTACAGCCATGATTTTATGCATATTGCTACACCATCAAAGGCCTAGATATTTATTTACAGCCATGACTTTAGGCACATTGCTACACCACCAAAATCCTAAACATTTATTTACAGACTTTATGTACTTTGCTACAACCAAAATCCTAGGCATTTATTTAAAGCTATGACTTTAGGTACTTTGCTACAACCAAAATCCTAGGCATTTATTTAAAGCTATGACTTTAGGTACTTTGCTACAACCAAAATCCTAGGCATTTATTTAAAGCTATGACTTTAGGTACTTTGCTACAACCAAAATCCTAGACATTTATTACAGCCATGACTTTGGGCAGTTTGCTACAACCAAACTCCTAGACATTTATTTAACGCTATGACTTTAGGCAGTTTGCTACAACCAAACTCCTAGACATTTATTTAAAGCTATGACTTTAGGTACTTTGCTACAACCAAAATCCTAGACATTTATTACAGCCATGACTTTGGGCAGTTTGCTACAACCAAACTCCTAGACATTTATTTAACGCTATGACTTTAGGCAGTTTGCTACAACCAAACTCCTAGACATTTATTTAAAGCCATGACTTTAGGTACTTTGCTACAACCAAACTCCTAGACATTTATTTAAAGCCATGACTTTAGGTACTTTGCTACAACCAAATTCCTAGACATTTATTTAAAGCCATGACTTTAGGTACTTTGCTACAACCAAACTCCCAGACATTTATTTAAAGCCATGACTTTAGGTACTTTGCTACAACCAAGCTCCTAGACATTTATTTAAAGCCATGACTTTAAGTACTTTGGCTATACCACCAAAATCATACACAGCTTTATACCATCATCATTGATATATATATTTCTATCAACTCCTAGACAGTTACCACCATGACTTTAAGGATCGATATTCAGTTGTTGGGCGACCTGGTTCTCAGCGGATCTCTTCCTCCCTCCATGACTATTTTTAATAATCTGGCAAATGCTACCATCATTGCTATCGAATCAGGTTTATACGATGTATTACACTGCCGTCATTGCTATCGAATCAGGTTTATACGATGTATTACACTGATTTTCCTTCACCTTTTCAGGGCCACGTCCTTCAATAGTTGATTTTAGGCATTTTCCTTGTTTGTATATTTTGAATTTCGCGCAATGCTACACGAGGGCTATCTGCGCTAGCCATCCATAATTTAGCAGTCATAGACTAGGAGGAAGGTAAGCTAGTTAACACCACCCACCGTCAACTCTTTGACTACTCTTTTTTTAATGAACAGTGGGATTGACCGTAAACATTATAACACATCCACGGCTGAAAGGTCCAGCATATTCGGTGACGGGGATTCGAAACCGCGACCCGTACACTTTTCTACCACCAAAATCCTTAATCATCATAACATTAGGCACTTCCTACCAGAAAAATACTAAACAATTATTTGCAGTTATGACGTAGGCGTACTTTGCTGCCACAAAATCCTAGACACTTAATTGTCATCATTATTTTCGAAACTTTTTCACCAGCAAAATCACAGACAGTTAATCACTATCGTGATCTTGGGCACTTTGCTGCCACAAAATATCCTTATCCATCAATACTTTAGGCACTTCACTACCAGAAAAATACTAGACACTTATCTGTCATTATAACTTAGGCATTTTCGTGCCACAAACTCCTAAACAATTACTTTCATGACTTTAGGCACAAAATACCAGGCAATTAATTACCATCAAGACTTTAGATACTTTTCTACCATCAAAATCCTAGACGGTTTTATACTATTCTAGATACTCTGTTACCACCAAGACCCTAGGTTATGTTAATCGCTATAGCTGACCAAGACCCTCGGATATGTTAATCGCTATAGCTGACCAAGACCCTAGGTTATGTTAATCGCTATAGCTGACCAAGATCCTCGGATATGTTAATCGCTATAGCTGACCAAGACCCTAGGTTATGTTAATCGCTATAGCCGACCAAGATCCTCGGATATGTTAATCGCTATAGCTGACCAAGACCCTCGGATATGTTAGTCGCTATAGCTGACCAAGACCCTAGGTTATGTTAATCGCTATAGCCGACCAAGATCCTCGGATATGTTAATCGCTATAGCTGACCAAGACCCTCGGATATGTTAATCGCTATAGTTGACCAATACCCTAGGTTATGTTAATCGCTATAGCCGACCAAGATCCTCGGATATGTTAATCGCTATAGCTGACCAAGACCCTCGGATATGTTAATCGCTATAGTTGACCAATACCCTAGGTTATGTTAATCGCTATAGCTGACCAAGACCCTCGGATATGTTAATCGCTATAGCCGACCAAGACCCTAGGATATGTTAATCGCTATAGCCGACCAAGACTCTAGGTTATGTTAATCGCTGTAGCCGACCAAGACCCTCGGATATGTTAATCGCTGTAGCTGTAGAATTTAACCGTACACACACACGGTTCACCTTACCTCTAGAAAGGTCACGCTCGCCAGGATTGAGAGATCCGCAACTGTAAGATTTTCACCCGCTACGTATGGGTAATCGGTGAGAAACTGCTCTAAGAAGGCAAGCTTTTCTAACAAAACCCTTTCTTTCCCGGCGTCCGGCTCCTCACCTCGAAACATTATAGGGATCTGAAATACGTAGTAACTGAAAATTGTACAAGATTATAACTTTACAACATTCGTGTTTACTCGGGAACTGATACCACAAAATTAAGCTACATCAGCATAATATCAAATATCTTTTACAATGGAAATATATTACGTCTGGCAATATTAAAGGATATTATACAAACATAATTGAGTGTAATGGCACTGATAATTATAAACATAAGTTTTTTTACGTCACAGTATAAATCAAAACTTTTTTTTGAGGTGAAAAATAGTGTTAGTGTTAAAATAAGCAACATAATGGACTACCTAAGGTTTTAGTTTATGAATGGAAGTTTAAAGAGAAACGAAGTAATAGAGAAGACATAAATATTTCAAGTGTATTTATTTTTATTTATATTATATTTACATTTATTTCAAAATATCTAAAGATAAAAAGTTCGTTTTCAAACCTGAAAATCGATAATAGCCCGATATAAGGATCCCATATCAAAATACAGCATGCGATCTACTACTGCCCTCTTCCGGCGATTGGACGGATAGAAAACGTCATCCTTACCGTACAGATCAGCTAGATACGTGATTATAGCCCGACTAATACGAAAGAAAACAAACAAAATTCATAGCACATACAATCTTCTTCAGTGAATATTAGATATATGAAAAAAGGGGGAAATATTAGTGTTAAAAACTTTATTTAAAAACGATATTTAATTTTATTTTAGTCATCTTTTTATAAACATCAATGAAGGACTCACGTTATTACTTCTAAAGTTAGCGTACGTGTATCTCAATGAAGGACTCACGCTACTACTTCTAAAGTTAGCGTACGTGTTTGAATATTGTGAAAAAAAAAAACACTGAGGAAATTGTTGCTGCAAAATTAGATATAGAGTGACCTCAAAGTCAGTAATAACAGCTAAACAATTTCTTACAGTAAAAATGGTTATTAAATTCTTGATTTTTTTTTCGATTCGCGAGAGACATGATCGACATTATTCTTTAAAACTTAATCCTTCAACTGCGGTTGACATCATATGATGTTAGCGTAGGTGACTCTAGTTAACATCATATGATGCAAGCATTTCGCGCGCAACATTTTGAAATTTTAAGAATTTTTGCGCATATGGTGGTATGCAGATTTACACAAGCCGCACACGAAGGGTTAAACTATACCTATAATTTTTACGACGCCTAAATATTTTCCTCTTTAAGTGTTTACCTTGCAAAATGCAGGCTAAAAATATGTTTTAAAATAATAATAAAAAGGCTTATTACCTATGACGTGTCACCTTTAAATAATATTTCATTCTAATATTAAAATAAACCGGCGTCTGAATTTTAAAACTGCCAACAGACAGAAATGAATCAATGAAACTAATACACTGTCGTCGTGGCAACAAGATACACACAACCACAGCAAACAGGAAGCAAGAATACCACAACATTTCAGTTTAGCAGTTGTGCGTGCTTCCACTACAATGTGAAAAAAACGCGTCCCTCCAAGAGTGGAAATACTTTAAAATTCTGCAATTATGGTAATCAACAATCGCCATGTTTCATGTTTGTAGTTAAGCGCAAAGCTACACAATTGGGCTATCCGTGCTCTGCCCACCAGGGGTATTGAAACCCGGTTTCTAGCAGTATAAGACATACCGCTGTGCCACTGGGGGTTATGTTTCGTGTATGTAAACATTATAAAAAATTTGGAAAGCTCCCTCAGTCTTAAAAGTTTGTCGACCTTACCTTTCCCATAGGACAAAACCACTGTCATTAATGGTTGTGTTGACCTTACCTTTCCCATAGGACAAAACCACTGTCATTAATGGTTGTGTCGACCTTACCTTTCCCATAGGACAAAACCACTGTCATTAATGATTGTGTCGACCTTACCTTTCCCATAGGACAAAACCACTGTCATTAATTGTTGTGTCGACCTTACCTTTCCCTTAATGACAGTGGTTTTGTCCTATGGGAAAGGTAAGGTCGACACAACCATTAATGACAGTGGTTTTGTCCTATTGGTTGTGTCGACCTTACCTTTCCCATAGGACAAAACCACTGTCATTAATTGTTGGCACCGTGTGAGTAGGGTTTAGCTGAAAGAAAAGGAAAATAATTTTATTCGAAAGATAAATAGAAAATTCAACAAAAACGTTAACACCGGATTTATCAAAGTATGGATGCATATCTTTAAAAATTATTATGTTATCCCGGGAAACACGCATCAAAACTTTTAGGCTACTTTCACTAAGCACTGCACTTGGCCTCATAACTCATTTGAAAACGTGGACGCCCTCTTCACAAATTGGTAGAGACATGCAAACCTTGACCAATCTGCGATAAATGTGCGTCTGAAAAGCCAAAGATGAATGTCATGCTAGATGCACCACCGTTGAATGAGGCCGTTTCGGTGGCGAAACACGTGTTTAAACGGTCTTCTACTCGACGATGTATTACCCCGATATTGAACCCAACTACATTTCACGAGTATAATCCGGCGTTTGTTGAAAATGCCAAATACAAGTTAGGTTTCTAAATTTGTCCGAGTTGGTGATGATCATACTATTAATTAATTACTTCACGCAACTGTATTCAGTGAATAAATGATGTTCCTACAATATACTCTTAATTATCTCTGTTAAAAGTTTGGCAGAAGAATGATTTCAAAATAAAAACTCTTCTGCTCTCTAAATATTTGGAGTATTGTAATTCAATAAAGTAACAAACAGGAAATCCAGAATACACTACTAGTAACGCAAAGCATCATTATATTATATTTTAGTTCACATGTTTTCATAGTACACCAACTGTCTATATAATAAACTGGTGTATTAGGCACGGTACATACATAAATCAAATTAAGAGTTTTAGGGACTAGTGATGCTTCATTTCTTCGTTGTTAATTTTCTTTCGTGTCACATAATACACCATGATGTACTATCTTCAACCCGTAAAAGTTATTGTACGCAATCTGATATTTCGTTGCTTGCGACAGTTAGCCAATAACATCCGCTCCTTGCAATTAGAATATTACAATTTTATACACTGCATATGGACCCTCACACATTACCTACTCACCTTTAAGAACTCCGATTTTAATTGTTCCCCCTGCCATGTGTTGACGAACTTCTTCTTCAAGGGGATGTCCAGATGGCCTGCTACCATATCCACAGCCCTACAGGGGGCTGACAAGGGGAAGTAGTAGAAGTCAATGGGAGAAATGTTCATGACGCTACGTACAATACTTGGGAAACAAGAGGATGAAGACGGCAATATCTGCTGCCAGTAACAATAAAAATACAAATAAAATTACAATAGCAGTTCAAGAAGATTGGACAGGAGTCAGAAAAGATACCACAGTGAGAAAATATAAAACAATCAGACGGTAAGTAATGCTATAATGTTAACAGATAAAATATAAAGCAACCAGACAGTAAGTAATGCTATAATATTAACAGATAAAAATATAAAGCAACCAGACGGTAAGTAATGCTATAATGTTAACAGATAAAAATATAAAGCAACCAGACAGTAAGTAATGCTATAATATTAACAGATAAAAATATAAAGCAACCAGACGGTAAGTAATGCTATAATGTTAACAGATAAAAATATAAAGCAATCAGACAGTAAGTAATGCTATAATATTAACAGATAAAAATATAAAGCAACCAGACAGTAAGTAATGCTATAATGTTAACAGATAAAAATATAAAGCAACCAGACAGTAAGTAATGCTATAATATTAACAGATAAAAATATAAATCAATCAGACGGTAAGTAATGCTATAATGTTAACAGATAAAAATATAAAACAATCAGACGGTAAGTAATGCTATAATGTTAACAGATAAAAATATAAAGCAACCAGACAGTAAGTAATTCTATAATGTTAACAGATAAAAATATAAAGCAACCAGACTGTAAGTAATGCTATAATATTAACAGATAAAAATTGGAGGCAGTACAAGTGATATACAATGTCAATGGATAAAAACATGTAGACAATGTGAACAGAAAAATTAAAATGCTACAATGTCAACAGTGGACAAAAGTGTTAGTAAGAATGTTACAATTTCAACAGATGGAAATAGTAATATTGGTATAATGTCAACAGACAAAACACAGATGGTAAAGATGTTAATATTGGTATAATGTCAACAGACAAAACACAGATGGTAAAGATGTTAATATTGGTATAATGTCAACAGACAAAACACAGATGGTAAAGATGTTAATATTGGTATAATGTCAACAGACAAAACACAGATGGTAAAGATGTTACAGTGTCTTCAAATACAGATCAGGAAGAGTAAAAATATATGATAGAATGTCAAGAGAGAAAAGGATTACAGCTAGTAAGATCGTTACAGTGTCAACGGAGAAGAAAATATGCTATAATAAAACAGTATATTAAATTAGTTATAATAATTAGTAATGTAATTACTGTGGTAATTTTTAGTTCTAGTCTTTGTAGATAGCTTTCTTTGATTAGATACTAATGATAACCAACTAACAAAAAATATTAGTGAAAACATTAAAGAATACTACAATGTCAAAGAATAAAAAATGGACATAATACAAGACACTATAGGTGCTGCAAGGTAATGTATAAAGACGTTACAATATCAACCAATGTCAGAGAACGACCGTAGTAAAGTGTTACAATGACTACTGAAGCGGTAACGGATAATATAGATGCTACAATGTTAACAAACATGACATTAAACAATATTATAATCTCCATGAGCAAAATAAATAAGTCAGTAAAATTGTCACTATTTCAGTTGAGATGAAGATGCCATATTGTCAAAGGATAAAACGAATAAGGATAGTAAAGAGGCCACACTGTCTATATATAAAAACAATGGGGATAGTAAACAGGCCACACTGTCTATATAAAAATAATGGTGACAGTAAAGGGGCCACACTGTCTATATAAAAATAATGGTGACAGTAAAGG